CCTTTATTCAAGCTGCATTCTTGTTGTATTTCTTTGGGTTGTCCGATAGCTGTGCCCAGAACTGCACTGTTTTTTCTTTGTCAGGTATTGACTGGTTCAGTGCAGTCTCTCCATTGATGGACTGGTAGGAATGTTTCTGATTCAACTGACATTGGAGATTCTGCCTATATTGGGCAATTCGGGCTTCATATCTGCTGCTATTATTGGCTACAGCTGTTATTTGCTGCTTTATTATTTCCAGTGCTTTCTTAATCTTCCTTGTTTCTAGGTGATATTTCTTGATCTATTCTCTGGTCTTTTTGTTCTTCAGCTTCTTTTCTTTCATCTGTTCTAGCTTGCTTGCATCTGATCTTAGCATGCTGATCTTCTTTTTCCAACTTGATCTCCCATTTTGGTGGTGCATTGTTTGGCTTTTATTCTTGTTTGTTGATTTTGCATCCAAGGTATTCAGTTATAACTGCAGCCATGCTGTACCTCAGTTGGTTGTCGTTATTATTATTATTATTATTTAGATATTTTATAGTTGCCCACCCAAAAGACTCTGGATGGCTATAATAAATCTAGATGATGATGATGATGATGACGACGACAATTATGATAATACAGTTTATTGCTGAATAGGGTGGATGCTTTTTATTTCATTGATGTGTATTGAAAGTTTCTTTAACTTATTTTATTTATTGTTAGTTGCATGAGAACCTTTTACGGGTAGAAATTTAGGATATAAATCAAATGAATACATGAAAATATTGCTTAGATTCTATGGACAGTTTAAGTATTTATATCTTGTATTATCTGTTATTTAGTCATCATAGCTTATTTTAGTGCGCATGTGTTTCAAGTCTATCTTAGAAGTTTGTCCTATTAGCTGCTATGTTACACAAAGGCAACAGCTGAAACGTCAGTGGACTGGGGCTTACAACTTCCAGCACCATCCCTGAACAATGGCAGAGATGAGATGTTTGGTACTCCATATGACCTCATGATCCAGCTCCATGACTCATCACTCACCACCCAGGAAAATGTCAGAGAATCTGCCAGGTCTTTCCCCCACCATTGTTCACATTTGCATGCTCACTGTTGCCCTTCCTACTCAAAAGATGGGATGTGATTGGGTAAAGGTAAGGCTGGGAAGAAACTGCTCCACAATTTCAGGCAGGGCACCTTCAGGGAAAGCAAATGCAGGGAGGGGTGTGTACGGAATGGATGAAACATGTAGGAGGACATCATCACACAAGCACTACTTATATACTTGCAACAAACATCAGGATGCAAATTCATAATGATGGCATTTGCATGATGATGTTACCATTCATGGGTCACCATATAGTATTGTTCTCAGTGTAGGTTGGTGCAGATGCTACTGATTTTATAGTCTCATTCACAGAGCATAAGATGGAAGAAGCATTTTAGTAGTTTTCTGGAGAAGGCAGATTGGGGAGAGGGAAAAAGGTGCTATTTTGGGATGTATATAGAGCCAGCTCCTCAACAGGCAAGTTCATGACGACAGGGGTAGAACTTTGCTCTTTGCTCTTGATGAACAAATTGTCCCAATGTCTTTTGTGAGTATGTAAAGTGTATGAATCTGTCTTCTGCAGAAAGGACACTTATGCTCAGGATGAAATGCTAGACCATTTCAACTTTCAAAGACATAGTTTTAGCACAGCATTTTGAAAGCAAATTTGACAATATGCAACTTGGAAAGGACAGAGCAAGTTCAAATGCATTGAAAATTGATTTGGATTGTTATATTTACAGGCTATATTAGGCAGAAAAGAAATTTGTATCCTGCCTAATAATATAACAAGAATACTGGCTACTAAGTTTTGTGACATGGATTTATGGAGAAAAACTTGCTTCAATATTGCATTCTCTGCTGGTGGAATGAATGAAAACAATATAAATATGGTATGTTTATTGTGTGTTTTAAAACAAGCTAGCTTATATCAGAGAGTGTCATAAATGTACCAATTAAATGAAAATGTGTTTTTAAAATATTCTTCCTCAGAGTCGCCTGGATGTCTTTGTATCACATTTACTTGGATGTACATCGACAAAAACTCTCTTACATTGGAAGCAGGTAAAAATTCTGAAATGTTACTCACTAAAACTGTGAATTTTACTGCCCTGGGATAGCAAATGCCCTCTTTGATCTCTGTTTTCATAATAAATGTTTTTTTTCAGGTAAAATTTAAGTATCAATTTCCCATTAACTGAAAATCTAATTCTGCTTCATTCTCCCCATCAACCTTCCTGAATATTTATTTATTCATTTGTATTTGTTATTTATACCATTGTTTATAGAACCCACATTCCCAAAAGGACTAGGAGAGTTTACAGGAGAAACAACAACAATTAATTCTATCGGCAAATCTAATCTAACTGCTGGGGCTGCCCAAGAACCCACAAGCATCCAAATGATCCTTATTTCAGGGATCAGGGTATTTTGAAGGGCAGGGCTTCCTTAATCTTCCTTGTTTCTAGAAATAAAGAAGCAGAAAACATGTGCTCATACCTCCACTGTTGTCCATTGAGTAGGAACACTTCTTCTCCCAGGATCACATGAATTTGGATCTGGAAACAAATCATTTGGCAATTAGCACAGGCGTTACCCTGCTAATTCTGTTATCTCTAGTAAGCAGACAAATTGGGTCACTGACAATTATGCAATGAAATACAGTGTTGTGTTAGATTGTAATGTATTGGGGGAGATAATCCTTCTGTCAAGCATCAAATTGCCAAAACTAAAGAAAGACAAGCTCCAAGCACATGAGATAGAAGAGTTGTAGTGATGCTCTGGATCAGTTGAAACTTCTGAATCATCTTCAAAGGCAAAATGTGTTCTGTAGTCTGTTTGTTAGGTTACAAGGAGGTGAGTCATTATTTCCAGGACATTCCAGTTGATCAAAGGTTGTAACTGGCACAGCAGACAAATTTGCTTACTATTCTAGCAAGAACTCACAAGCTAGGAATGGACTTAGTCCTATGGGGAAATATGACTCTGTCTCATATCCAGGGCTGGAGCTGGGATCAAGCCAATCAATCACCAACAAAGAACAGATGCTTGTTTTGACACATCCAAGCTCTTCCAATCTCTACTCACTGGGCCAGGATGTTGATGGTTCCCTAGTTTGGCCTGGTAATGCACAACTGAATATCACCAGCATATTGAAGATATCATATCCCAAACTGGCAATGGCCAATACCAGTGGCTTCATGGAGATATAAATAACATGAGAGAGAGAACATAGTCCAATGGAACTCCACACTGGGGCAAACATGGGTGTGACTGCTTTTCTCTACCAATGAAATTGCTTTAGAAAGAAAGCAGTGCCTCCAAGTTCTACCCTTGCAGGTGATCTCACAGTATACCATGACAGTAACACTGAAGGCCACCAAGGGCTCTACAAGGACCACAACTCACTCCATTTAAGCCTTGATAAAGGTAATCTATTAAGATAACCAATGTGGTATCTTACACCCTACATCCAGAGCAAAATCCTGACTGCAAAAGGTACGGATCCCCCCTATCCCTAACTCCAACAACTTCCCCAAAAGGGAAGGTTGGAAATTGGCTGATAGGTGTCTACAGTTGCTGGATTAAAAGATAGCTTCTTCAGATGGGGGTATACCATTCCATTCTTCAAGACAGTTGGCATCACCTCTCCCTTAAATGAAGCATTAATCACCTCCCAAATCTACCTGTATACACCCCTCCCAGCTGCTTGAATGAGCCAGATGGCAGATGGATCAAATTAACAGACATGATACAGCAGCCTGCTGAGGATCTTCACTCCTATTTTTCTCAAGGTATTGGGTAACCTTGAATAGAGTTGCTGAATGTGAGTCCTACATGGAATATGTGGAGAAATACAAGAGCTTCACAATAAGGGTATGACCAAAAATAGACAATCATGATGATTTTAATTTAGTTTCCAGCGTCTTTGCTCTAGGTGTCTCTTCACTTGCTTCATCTCAGTATTCTAAAGAGCTTTCTGGGATCTGTGAAGGAGACTGCTTGGGGGTGATCTCATCAGGTGCATTCACCATCTCCATATTCCAGAGACTGGCAAAACACATGGCAGAACTGCTTACAAGATTTCTGAGAAAGTATCCTGAGGCCCTATGAAAACCCATGGACCCATTAGGTGGTCCATTAGTGGACCACCTTAACACTGTAATTGGGCCACAAGGTCTTTGGTTGCCAATAAACTGTTTTTTGAAAGGCAAGCTTCAATTTCCAAAGAAGACATATTTTTTTCTTGCCTCTCCCTACCCAAATGTCTGGGGTTAAGCTTCCAAGCCTTTTACTTGGAAGCAAAAGTAGTATGAGCTCAGGATTTCTCCATCCTCCTTTTGCCAGGTCCCCCAGCCACAGTTCTTGCAGCCCACTCCTTCTGCCTCCTTCATTCCAGTTGTGGCCCCAAGAGGCTCTTCCCAGCTTTCACCTTGCAGGAACAACCTGCACATCTGACCATCCACTCCCATGTTTTTTATTAACATGGTCCCTTGGCCACCTTTCATAAGCCCAGGTTGAGGAAAGGCTGTTTTGGATAGTGCCATGAGATACCTTCTCTGTTAGTTCTTTTTTCCCCATCTTTTGAAGATGCCTTTGTTCCACCAAAATCCAAGTGTGAAATATGTGGAGTGTGGAAACTAAACACAGCACTCTAAGCTTCTTCTCCCAGTTTTCCCTCACCTAGAAAGAAGTAGAGGAGGATTAAAGAGAGGCACACAGACTGGGCAACTTGTTCCTCTTTTATGTTGAAAAGTGTGGCTGCCAACCTAGGACTGGGGTAATGTTTCAGTCGTGGCTGCATCATTATGGCTTCACTATGCTCCTCCCCTTGTGATGAGTAGGGAAACTGCCACCAGTGCTTCTGTGTGTCTTGGACAACCAGGCTGTTAGTAGCAGCCATAGCTCCTGCAAGCTAAAGAAACAGAATACAGCAGCATTAGTGTTGACAATAGCAACTGCTTTCTCTCTTTCTTGTCCCCTATTCTTACCGGACACCTGCAGCCAGCCAACAGGAGACACAAGCAAAGCTCCCAGCCAGCCACTGATGCCAGGCAGCCTGACTTGCTTTCCCAGTCACCTCCTTAACTGCCCTTTTCTGATGACTTTTCCTGACCAGGCTGGATGATGGTGGTTTAGGAGAGAAAGGAGGCACTGTCCATCTGCTTTTGTGGTCACGATCCCTGGCCACTTGAGCACAGAAGGCCTCCCAACATTCTTGAAGGGCAAGGTTGTGAATGAGGTGTTGAGTACCACATGAAGTATTGCTTGCACTCAATAGATGGAGATGGAGTAATATGAATGGACTGAACATAGCTGGAGCCCTGTCAGTCCACTGTCCAGCTCTGCTAGACAATTATTTGCAGATACAAAGCTAAAAATGGCCGCAACACTCTTAACTTATGACCAGTTTCAGAAGCTTTGGGAAAGCAGACTTTAGCCATGTTGGCTGGTTATTAGGGGACTTATAATTCCAATCTATCAAAAAAAAAAAAAAAAAGGTTAGGGAAGTTTGTTCTGTTCCAGAATGATTTTTTCTATTCTGTGTGCCTTTATTCTAGCTTCTTCTAAAGAATTATATAGATAGATTATTTTAATGGGAAGCTTTAGAAAATTGCATTAAAATTAAAATTTTAAAATATAAAAGAACAACAATTTGCAAAAGTGGTTTTAGATTCTTTTCTCTTGCTCTTTTCAGGTGTATGAAAGTGGGCAGTTTAAAGAATTCGACTACGGTTCTAAGAATATGGAGAAATACAATCAGGTAGACAAAGCTTTTTTTTTTAATGAAAGAAATATTGCAGATAAATAAGGATGAAGATAAAGCTGCTACAAAGTTATTATTTGTTGTCATTTTTAACATGTTACCATTATGTTTAACATGTCATCCTAGATTTATCTGGGTTTTATTTTGATTAAAGGCAGCACTGTCCATCTTTGTGTCAATGAAGTGCTGGGCTACCAAGCACAAGTTATATCTACGCAGGCATAGCTGCCGGGAAATTCAGAAAAGAATGAATAGCTGTGTAGTAGTTCTTTCACACTGGATTCAGACCAGTGATGTTCCTTCCAGGGCACAAGAAATTAGATCTTTCTTAAACTACAAGGAAAAGTTATTTTAGGGTCCATTAGCAGAAACTGGATTAAGAGAATTAGAGATGATGCATAAAGCTTACTCTGCCAATTGTTTAAATAGGTATTTTTTGGATTTTTATGAGGTTATGGGAGAATGGGGGCGGGGGGGAGAAGGGCACATAGGTAGATTGCTCCAAAGTAAAAGATCTGTTATGATATGGGAACAGTGGTAGTCATGGAGGGTGAGATGGCAACAAAAGGGCACTATCCTATCCTAAGAACATCCTTACAGCTATCCTAGAGCCTGGGAAGTAGCAAAGCTGAATGATTCAAACCACTAGATATTATAGAGCAATATTATAATAATTGTAAAACTTAGTGGTTGTAATTATGAGTTTTTACGTTTTTGTTTTCTTCTCTTTAGACGACCCCTCCCTTATATGACATAAGACGCATGTATACCCCAACCATCATTTGGAGTGGTGGAGAAGATATCATGTCAACACAAGAGGATACTGAACTTTTGCTCCCTCTTCTTAGGAACCTACTCCACTACAGAGTAATTCCTCACTGGATGCATTATGATTTTGTCTTTGGGCTTAATGCGTGTCAAGAATTATATGACGAACTTGTTGAGATAATTCAGAATTTCCCATAAGATGGGGATCATCTAGTGAGTCAGCAGCAAAACGGCATTCCAGAATGTTTCTTTAAGAGAAAAAATGTATGCTACCATTAACGCAAAAGTATCTAATTCTTTTATTTGGTGATTTTTAAAAGGATACCTTTCATATCAAAGTCAATTTACATGCGCTGAGACAATGCAACTAGGGGATTCTAAACATTGGGAAGACTCATATGGCAAAGTGTTGAGTAATATGAGAAAGATGAGAAAGATGATACCAAATTATTAGAGCTGAACCAAGATTCTCAGGATTCAACAGACTCCTCTTTCCCCCTAGATTCAGTTGTAAAAAGCAGCATTGGGGAGGAGGCGTTAAAAAAACAACAACTCAAAATGGTAGCCATGGCAATATGATCTATGTTTTGCCCCCATTATATGTGTGTTGGCCTTGCATACATGTACAAAGGGGTGGGGTTGATCGTGTTGCTATAACCACTTTGATTTTTTAAAATAATAATTTTATTAAAGATTACAATCTACAACAATAAAAACTGATACAAACTGAAAAAAGCCTGTTATTTAAATTTTTCAAATCAGTTTCAATCATGTCAAGTAAAACTTGTTCCTCTTCCATAGCATCTTTTAAACACAGTCTTTCTATAGAGGCAGACACTCTTTAAATTAACTTCTGGGTCTGTTGTTCAAAAGTATCCAATATGTCCAATGTTATAATATTTTGCTTCATTCTGTATTAGTAAGTCAAGTTTGAGTGTTCTTCTCCTTTAATTGTAATCTTTAATTCCTTCTGGTTCCTTCTAGTGTTCAACCTCCAAAATCTCAACCTATCAAGTTTTTTTTTTTTTTAATTATTTAAAACAAAAGCATTTTTCTATGGGAAGTATTCTTTATAATTAATTCCAAAATCTTATTTCAAATCCATCTTGGTCTGTTTGCAAGTTTCCAAAATCAAAGTTCTAATCACCTTTTTGCTGTTTATTCCCCCCACTCCAAAAATTTTTAAGTACTTAATCTTGTATTTAAAACTTCTTTTGCTAAGGATTGAAGGAAACTCACCTGGTGTTTTCAGACTTGTCAGTCCAAAGGTTCCTAATAA